GGAAAAGAAAAAGAACATTTGCATTTGGAGCATGAGACTGAGATTCAGTTCCATTGTGGCTCTGATCCCAAAATGGGAAACTTTCTGGAAATAGAAAATCTACTTATAACAGGAAACTTTTTCAGTAACATTGTAGCCTCAGGGCAGGACAAATCTCCCTACATCATTTTACTTAGTAAGTTTGTTTAGGCCTCCCAGCAATGCTGGGCAGTATTAATTCTATCTTCATTCTGCAATGAGAACACTGACACACAGGAAAGATTGACAGCTGGTCCCAAGGCCACACTAATAAGAGAGGCCATGATTCACACCCAATGGCTGGACTCCAGGTTCTATGCTTTGAGCTATTTCTCTATCCATTAGTGGTCTTCTTGTGGGGAGGAGTGTCTGTGACGGGAAACTCATCCGTCATTCTGGAATTCCACCTCAATTCAACTTCTATTGTTGGCAAAGAATGCCTATGAATAGCTAGGAAATTTACAAATTGGCGCTTATTTTCATTTTTAACATCTTAACTCAGAGAGCTTCAGGAACTGCAAGATCGTGGGTTACTGCTACCTTTTAGGGTATTTGTTGGACGGGTGTGGTGTGAATTTGTTGGGGGGGGTGTTAGGGCATATATGCTGTTCACCCTTGCTCTCCTCTGGGACCAGGCATTCATATGATAGGGCATGTGTCAGTCAGCTTCTATTGTTTGCTATAACACAATACCCAGTAAGAGACAATAAAGAAAAGAGGTTTAGTTATCCCACAGGTCTAGAGGCCCAAGAACATGGCACTAACATTTACTTGGTTCTTGTGGGTGTTGTCTAGTTATTTCACAGTACAGCAGAAATGGATCACATGGAGTCAGAGTCAGGGAACCAGGGAGAATCACAAGCGAGGTGTCTCTGTATTTATGGTTTCTATTGCCATGACTATGGCAACTCTTATAAATGAAACATTTAATGGGGGTGGCAGCTTACAGTCCAGGGGTTCAGTCCATTACCACCATGGTGGAGAACATGGCGGCATGCAGGCAGATGTGTTGCTGGAGTAATAGCTGAGAGTCCTACATCTTGCAAGCAACAGAAAGTCAACTGACACACTGAACAGTTTTCTGAGCATGGGAAACCTCAAAGGCCACTGCCCAGTGACACACCTCCTTCAATAAGGCCATACCCACTTCAACAAAGCTACACGTACGATTAGTGACACTCCTTATGAGATTACGGGGACCATTCAAACTACCATACCAGGATCGATTTGCTTTTCTTCTTTTCTCTTTCTTTCTTTTTTCTTTTCTCTTCTTTTCTTTTCCTTTCCTTCTTTATTCCTTCCTTCCTTTTTTTTTTCTTTCTTTTTTAAGTAAAGTAGCCATATAGCTCATTCTCACAGGCACTAACTAGCAAAACTCTTGAGAGAACATTACTCCCATCTGAGGATGGGGTCCACACGCATACCGTTCGGACATGCCCTACTCTTAAAGGCTTCACTACCTCTCTGCATCACCACACTGAAGATTTAGTTTCCAGGACGTGACTCTTGGGGTGTTGTGGGATATTTGTACGCTGTGCGAAGGTGTATTGCTGTGACTGGTGTAACAAAAGGCTGAACATCTAATAGATAGAAAGAGGTTTGGCAAGACTACCAGGGACAGAGAGGACTCTGGGAAGAAGAGGGTAGAGTCACCAGCCAGCCAGAGAGAAACAGGAGGTACAAGATGGGAGATGGGAGAGAGGTAATGCCATGTGATAGAATGCAGATTAATATAGATGGGTTAATTTAAGTTATATGAGCTAGTTAGGAGCAAGCCAAAGCTATAGGCCAAGCTTTCTTAATTAATAAGAAGTATCTGTGCCATTATTTTGGAACTGGCTATCAGTATTGAAAAGACTCATTACATTGGGGTGGGGGGAGGACACGCTTAATCTATATCCAAACCACAACAGGGACTAAAAATCAAACACTTAGGAAACGAATGAAATGCACACAATTGGGTCTGGGGATGAGGAGTCGCTCCCCATCCTCCTGTCTATCATATCAACTAGTCCAGTACATTTTGACATCCCATTCTTTTTAGAAGGACGGAAGCTTCTCATTAAGTAAATTAACCATTAAGTCAAGAACACGAATGTCAATATAGATACAGGCTGGTAATTTGCCAGCCACTGAAGCATCCAGTGCTCAAAGGACCCAAGACCATTACACAGCAGTGCACTGAGACATAGCGGGGGGGGGGCTCTGGGCGCCAACACTCAGTTCACAGGATCCTATGCAATGGTCCTAAATGAGATTACTCTTCCATCTTGAGAAATGGATGCTTGTTGGTTTCAAACTCTGAACGTATCGAAGTGATTACATCCCTTTTGAGTGTTTTATTTTCATTTGAAAATAGATTGTACTATTATTGTTTTTTAACTTGTAACTTAGTCCTCTGTTGCCTTAAAATCGTGAGAGTGATAAAGAAAGAGAGAAATCTTTGATCATTTGTCATAGTGTGGAAAATCTGACAGTGCCTTCAATTAACAGATGAGAGTCCAGAGGCTTTCTCAGCCTGATCATCCCCCAGTGCTCTCCCTAATTGAGTCAAGGAAAACAGCCTTAGCAGGGTCCTTGGACGGCTGCCGAATGAAGCACAAATCTCTGCAGTGCTCTGAGATTTTTTTTCCCCATGCTGTTCTCACAGGTTGCTGAAGCATGGCAGTCCAAGGCTGATGGCATTAGTGGGACGTGGCAGGGGAAGCGCTGGGCTGGAACCCGGGAGGCACACACTTCAGCTGGCTCTGGCTGCACACACAGCAGCCAGCTTTGAGGACTTGGACAAACTTCTTTCCTCCTCTGGATTTCACTTTCTGCATATGTGTGTGTGTGAACTAGAGTCTCTTTGAGTTCATGGAGAATCTGCTGTGTAGAAAGAGAGAGAGACAGAGAGAGAGAGAGACAGAGAGAGAGAGGGACAGGCTTGGAGAATCCTTGTTTAAGGCACAGAGTTGACATCTTAGGGATAGAAATTTTTTTCAAGAGTCTTTGCCTCACAAGGAGGCAGGGAGGTCATTGGGGCTTGTGGAGAGCAAGATGGCTTTGGGAACATTTCTGAGGCTCTTCACTATCCTCTTTTCCTGGTTCCTCTCCATCTAAAGACACCCATTCCAAAGATGAACTCAGGAGTATATTTTTGGTTCTGGATCAAAGAGCAACAGAGGCAGACATCAGCCTTGTGCGTCTCCATAGTGCTGCACAGGCACTTGTCAGGTGGGCACTCCATTGATATCTTTTGGTCACATGACATTGTGCATGCTTAAAATGGTTAATAATGGGTTTCTTTTTAAACATTTATAATTATTATTTTATTTGTGTGCTTTGTCTTCATGTATGTGTAGCACGTTCAGTCCATGCCTGGTGAAACAGGAGTTACAGATTATTCCGAGCTACCATGTGAATTCCAGGAATCAATCCCAGGTTGTCTGGAAGAACACACATGCACACAGCATGCATGCACACATACCCTGGTTATTATATTTCTAAATGGTTTTGTGGTTTTGTCTTAGAGCCATCTTCATCTACATCTCCTGGTCTGTCACAATGTTGTCACACTTTCATACCATTCAGCAGGTTATTTTTGCCAGGGATATTTTTCTTCTCATTTTCTTTCTGGTTAACTAGTTGCAACATTTGCCTGAGGGGGTGGCACAAACATCCACAATTAGCCCTTCCAAGGCTGTGGCAGAAACTGACACACTACTCAGAAATTGAGTGAGGCCTGAGCATCCAGCCCTGGTGATTTGGCATCCAGGTTTTGGTTGAGGGTGTCTCCTGAGCAAGAATTGTTGAGGGATGGTTCTCTAGTTCTCTTCAAGTTCATTACTTGGTTGGTGGGATTCTGGGTTTTTTTTTTTTTAGTCTTAATTAAATAAATTTAATTGTAAAAACAACCTTATAATAGAATTTACATGTTATGTGTTTTAAATCATGTAGTTAACAGCAGAAGTACATTAATTACAGTGCCCAAATCAGAATATCATAGAGATTTAATATATTAAACCACCCAACAATAAAATCTTATCTGCCTTGAAGCTTACAAGAACACTTCATTTTATCAAATGCAAGGTTCAAACATACCATGAACAAAATATATATTCAAGGACCAAGGCTAGACAATAAATTAATCTTTTCAAAACAAATAGGAACCATTAATTTTTCTCCTTGAGTTTGAGAGGCCCAAGATCCTTATAGAATATATAGACAGCAGTGATGAAATTAAGCAAGGAGTTTGGAAAGAAATCAAAAAGGTGCCCCATTAATACACGTGCCACAATACATCTATCAGCACATTCAAACCCAGTTTAAGTAATGAATGTGAATAAGACACTTAGTAAAACGTTACACTGTAACTAACTATACCAGACACACGGGGACTTTAGACAGAGTCTACAACACACAGTACTAAGCAAGCTGCAGAAATGCCCACAATAAGCAATCCTCTCCGGCAGGATGGTCCTACGAAACGGCATGGCGATATGAAACATAAACAGGACAGTGAGGCAACCTTTACTTCCAAACGGGAAACAAACACACAGAACGGCCACCCCATTTATGTACCCAGGGACTGCAGCTTCCGGGACTCACCTACTGCTTGTCAGGTTCAGTAAAACTAAAAGGCTCTCTGCCAGGAGAGAACCTGCCTTGTCACAGTCTCACAAACTTAAGGATGGCTCTTGGAACAAAGAGAAAAGAAAACTTTCTAATGGAGAGTCCTGCATATAAATAGCACATTGAAATTTAAGGGGGTCAGGTGGCTAGCTCATTAAGTATACTTCCTGTATGTTTTCCATGAGATACTCGTACATGCAAATTTTCTTTCAACAATCACATACTCCATCTAGTTTTGCAGAAGTCATCTTTAAAACAAACAAACAAAAGTTCCCATTTTCAAATCAGGACCTCAAAGACAAACTGAGATCAGTGACATCATACATGGCAAACATCCCGGGGTCAGAAAACGTGATGGAGCGGATACTGTCCTGTGCCAACTAACTTTCGTCGTCTCTTTGTAAAGGTATTATCTCAATTTCCTTGGCTATCCTTTCGGCTAATACTTTGTTATTTGCAGCAATTATTCTCCGAGACATCAAATCAAATGGTCCGCCCATGGATAGGGATGGAGCAAAGCTTTTCCATGTTGGAGAGGACGATGCGTAAAGTTTCCAGCTTCCGGGATGAGCCCAACTCAGTCACCAAGAGGGATTTGGAGATGTCTTCCTGTTGTGAGACCTGAAGCCTCTGGCCGTTACAAAAGGCTCCTTTTCCTTTCCTGCCAGTGTACATCTTGTCCTCCACACAGCTATACACAACTCCAAACTCCATCTGTTTATTTACAATGAAGCCAATGGAAACAGCTACAAAAGGGAACCTGTGTACAAAGTTCGTCGTCCCATCGATGGGGTCAATGATCCACGTGGGCTTGTCTGTGAAGACAGTCTTTTCCCCAGCCGCCACAGACTCTTCCCCAATGAAACTGTGAGATGGGTACTTTTCCTTTATAGACGAGAGAAGCATTTTTTCAACTTTCTGGTGGGTAACCGTCACCAAGTCAACTGGGGAACTTTTAATCATGACATTCACCTCATTTTTCAGAGCTTTGCGAATCATCTTGCCGCGATGCTCAACAGCCAGGGTGGAAGGCTCCGCTTTCCCAGATGTAATGGGGGCTGCCGGGATTCTGGGTTCTCAGCTTCCTGGCTGTTGACTGCAGAGATCCCTTGGTTCCTTGTTGCCATGGGGACCTCCTCACGGTGTATGTGGGAGGTGTCACTTGCCAGGACTTCTATTGGTTATATAGTTCCAGGCCTGGTACAGAATGGAGGCAGGGAAACTCTAAAGGTGTGAACACCAGAGGTCTGGATCACTGTGAGCCATCTCAGAATGAGGTACCTCAGGCAGGTTGCAGCCTTTTGTCTCAGATGGAAAGTAGCTTTGAAAAGAACTTTCCAGGACAGTGGTGCCCAGTTTAGATGATCTCTTCACTATTGCAGAATGTTTTCCTTTATTCATTTTCCCCCTATGGCTTGGATATTTATGGCCCTCTCTGGATTCATATGTGAAATCTAATCCCCAATGTAGTAATGGAACAAGGAATGGCCTCTAGGAAGTGAATAGGTCAGGAGAGCAAAGCCCTCCCCAGAAGGATTAATGCCCCTATAGAGGAGCCTGGAGGAGCTTATTTATTCCCTTGGCTAAGTGAGGTCCCAGTGAGGAAATGCCAAGTATGGGGCTGAGGTGATAAGTCAGTTAGTAAATTGCTCACTTTGCAAGCACAAGGACCTGTGTTCCATCCTCAGAAGCCATGTTAAAAAGCAAGCAAGCAAGCAAGCAAACAAACAAACAAACAAAGGAAGAAACAAAGAAAGAAGGGGGAGGAAAGACCAACATTAGTGGCATGCACTTGTAATCCTGGTGCTGGGTAAGTCAAGACAGGAAAATGTGTGGGGCTTGCAGGCCTGCTAGTCTAGCCTGTTTGATTTGTATCAGGGCAGTGAGAGTCTTAAGTAAAAGGTGTATGGTGCTTGAGGAATGATACCCCAGGGTTATCTTCTGGCTTCTATATGCATGCATATACACGTGCACTACTATACAAACACAGAGAGAGAGAGAGAGAGAGGGAAAGAGAGAGAGAGAGAGAGAGAGAGAGAGAGAGAGAGAGAGAGAGAGAGAGAGAAACACCACACACACCAAATATGAGGAACAGGTTCTCATCAGACACCACATCTGTCACTGCCTTAATCTTGAACTTCCCATCCTCTGGAGACCTTCAGCAACACATTCCAGTTGCTTAGCAGTGTGAGATATTTGGTAATAGCAGCCTTAATGCAGCAAGACACAAATTCCTTTATCGATGACTTGGAATTTTAATCCAAATGCTTTTTTGCAACTTTATGCACATGGTTTTGGCTATTGTAACTTCTGACTATTTGCAAGAAAGATGCACATCATGTACAATTAGGATAGCAGAATGCAATCTTGACCTTAAGCTATCGAATTTTCTAGGCTCAAAGTAGCAAATTAGAATCAAAGTTTCTAACTTTTGCTTTATAAGCATGCATTATTTTCAGCACGCTGAAGGGGGGTGTCAGGAGGGCAGAGGACTGCCCGAGGCATGCTGAAATGAGAGTTTATGAAAGTCTACCTGCTTTGTGGTTACTTCACTTCTTATAAATTATACTTGCATGCTGTTCATGTAAGTGGCTTTCTAATTAGTTAGAACAGAAGTCATCAAGGAATGACACTTAATGCTGTTACTCCCCAGAACCTAGTAAATACATTAACATAGAGAGCCCATGTCCAAGAGGAGATGTTTTGGAGTCAAAGGTGGACTGCCTCGAAGTGGATCAGTATAGTGGCATGCCAGGCCTCTAATTCACAGCTCTGCTGCTTTCCTCACTCAGGACTGGATGGATGGAAGTTTCCAGGTAATGCTGGAGTCCTAAGGACATGGTATAGTAGGAAGGGATTATGATAGTTATGGGTGTCCCTAATCTATGAAAGAACCACACCATCTTGTCTACTCTTTGTGTGTGTGTGTGTGTGTGTGTGTGTGTGTGTGTGTGTGTGTGTGTGTGTGTAGGCCAGAGGTCAAACTTGGGTCTGCCTGTTTTGTGAGACAATATATCTTAGTGGGACCTGAGGTTGCTGATTTGACTAGACTTTCTGGCCAGTGAGCCTCAGGGACCCCCCCCCCCATTCTCCATATCCCAAGTTCTTGGATTATGGGTGCACACCACCATGCTTGGCTTTATACATGGATGTTGGGAATCATACTCATGTCCTCAAACTTGTGTGGCAAGAACCTTACTCACCAACCAAGCATTGTCCTCAGCCCCTATTTCTATTTTTCTGCATATGGAACAGTTCTGCATTTTTTTTGTTCTGTTTTGTTAATATTAGGTTTCATTTGGAGGAAAGATTTAGCAGTTTCCAAAAGAACAAAGGAAAAAGAAAGGAAAACCTGTAGCTTGGGAGACAATGCTATTGGAAGATTAGAGGCTAGGCACATATGCCAAGTTTGGAAGCCAACAGAGCGAGCAAAGAGACCAAATGCATGGTCCCCCCTGAATGCTCTCCATTGAGGAAACTGAATACTACCTCCAATAAATTTGCTTTGGGTTGAAGTGCTGCTAATTGCTGGAATTACTCAGAATATTCTTCTTAAGAACTTCTCAGTCCTCCAGCAGAGAATCCTCCATCCTAAATTGGCTTGAACTTACCCTGGTGGAGGTTTCCTCTTGTGTCTGGATTGTTCTTTGTTGTGGGGGACTTCCCTGTGCATGGTGGGATGCTCAGGGGTGATGCAACTTTCTACTGTCATTTAGTCATGAAGGACACCTTGTTCCTTGCCTGACTCTCTTAATAAGCTTGCATTTTCCCTCCTGCGTGGCATGCCTCCAGGCATGATAAGAACAACAGCCTCAGCAACAGCCAAAAGGCTTCATTTGAAAGGATGTCCCTAATCTATCACAGCTGTGGCATATGACACTCTAAATTAAGGAGCCTGGGCTTTGGCTGTTCCCAAATGAACAGGCCACGTGCTGACCTTATGATCAGTCACTTTGGGGTCACGGTGGGTCAAGGGGCATCTGTTTGTCATTTCCTGTCAGAACAGTGCTATTTACAGAAATAGTCAGGGGCATGCAAGGATGGGGTGGGTGTCCTTTCTCAGTTGTCTCCTTTGGTAGAAAGTTGTCTAAGAAAGAAAGTGATTCGTGGTACTGAAGTAAGAATGAAGACCCCCAAGGCTGGTATGTGGCTCAGTCGATAGAGTACTTGCCTCACATATGCAAGGCACTGGATTTGGCCCTTAGCACTACATCAACTGGGCATAGTGATACTTGCCTGTGAACCCAGCACTTGGGAGGACCAGACATTCAAGGTCATCCTTCAGTACATAGTGAATTTCAAGACAGCCTGGGCTACGTGATACCTTATCTCTAAAAAAAAAAAAAAGTCTCAACAGTAGAGAGGCTGAGGTAGGAAGCTTATGGCTTGGAGGCTAGCCTGGGCTACACAGGTAGACTCCATCAAAACCAAGCCAAACCAAACAAACCATGATTGCCAAATAGCATGTGCTTCAGTGACCAGGCTGTCTTCCAAGGAAAACCCTGAGTATTTCCTCAGTGTGGACCAATAACTAGCAGGTATTCAGCAGGCAAGTGTAGAACAGGATACCAACTGGGTCCCCCAGCTCTCATGACATGAGAAACAAATGCATAGTGAACCAGATTTCGATGCTTCCAGTGGGAAGAACTCTACAAGTACCGTGAGGAAGAAGATGAATTTATTTCCAAGTTATCTTTCTTATAACCCAACATCTTCAAAGGGTACAGTTGCTAATGATGGGAATAGCCTAGGGTAACTGATGCAACAAGGGCTCAGCATCCTGTAGAAAGTGGTTAAAATGGTGACAGAATTGACCATTGTTATAACATATAGCATGAGGCTGTTACATATCTCAGGTATACCCAGTGTAAAGAAGAGAACCAAAGTAAATACAAAGCTTATGGTAACAGGGCAACCTATTTTCAATAAGCTACTAATTGTCTGGATAATTCTCTCTGTCCTCATCTTAGTTTCCTGTGGCTGGAACACCAGGAAGTTTTTCTCTCAGGGTGCTGGAGGTTTGAAGTTTGAAGTCAAGTTGTTGAGGTATAAAGCTACTTCCTCCTCTGGCCCTTCAGGTTGCATCCTGTCTCCATGTTTTGTCTCTTCATAATAGGCAGAGTAGGATTGTGTTGGGGCCGATGGCAGCTTGGGGTAGGGAGCTGAGGCTGCACAATGTACCCTCACAGTGGCTTTCCGCTTGTTTATGCTAAAAATTTCCCCTCCTCTGTGGAAAAGAAGGTGAATTGAGAGGCTGTGAGTGGAGTTGACAGGGTTTGCTCACAGACTGCACACAGGGGTTGAAGGCCAGAGAGTGGCCGATGATGACTGATTTCTTGCTTCAGAGCCTGGCAGAGTTACTGACAGATGAGAGGAAGGTGGGAAGGTGACCCATGCTGAGGGGGCAGCTGGTGGATTTGAAAGGTGGGTTCTAGTACCAGGAGTACAGAAAGTGTCTCCTTTACTCATGTAGCTACAGTGGCTTAGCATCACCGAGGCTAGTTTTCCTGTGTGTGTTTGTGTGTGGGGTATGTGTGGTATGTGTCTATGTACATGTTCATGGGGAGGAAAGGGTTGATGGAGTCGGTTTCTAGTCTCTAGATCTCTAGATGTCAGCAGTTAAAAAAAAAAATCAAAAAGCTCCTTGGAGACTCTTTGTGATAGGTATACAGAGAGGTTTTTATCTACTTTCTGTAAATGGTGTACGTGGCTCTCAATGACTTGCCAATGCTGGGAAAATATACAACTTCTTACACTTATTCAATAATTAGTGGCAATAAACTCCACCAAAGCATTTCTGTCATTTCTCAAGTACCAAATGTTTGACTTCTCAAATATCTGTTTCTCCCAGTCTTTGACTGCTATCCAACCATTAAACTGGTTAATATGAGCACCAAGATAAATACATGGAGACCTTTTAACCCAGAGACTTTGAGTGACAGCTTGGACTAAACCACCAGGCTTCCACCAAAAGAAAACACAGAGGTAAACCCTTAACAC